GTAGTAGTATATATTATATATATATATATATATTATATATATATATATATATATATATTGTTGTGTGTGTGTGTGTGTGTGTGTGTGTGTGTGTGTGTGTATGTGGTGACTTGTATTGTTCGGTAAACGCACATGCTTGTATTAATCAATTGAGTTTAGGGCTTAAATCCTAGATCCTCATACTATTGGACAGGATGATGACACTACGAAACAGTCCAGTTTTCATCTTCTATGCTGAAGTTGGCACACCAAACGATGATATACAAGATTGAACCGTCTAAAAATAGAACACTGCATATATACCTACCTATTTCTATGTACAGTAAGATCTATTCCGACACAGCCGTAGGTACACCGGACTATGTGTCACCCGAAGTGCTCGATAGTCAGGGTGGCAAAGGTTACTACGGCAAGGAATGTGACTGGTGGGCTGTGGGAATAGTCGCTTATGAAATGATGTGTGGAGACCCCCCGTTCTCATCCGAATCTCTGGTAAGCGGCCTGGTGGTGTTGGTATATATATACATACATACATACACACACACATATATATATATACAACACACACACACAAACACACACATACATATATATATGTATACATAAGTAAAACATGTCATACCGCTAGCCACTGCTGTTTTGCGCCCATCAGCCACAACACCTCAGCCTTCGGACAGTACCGAACTGCCTTTTGCAACAACTGCTGTAGCGAGTCCCTGTGTTATGAGTCAAACATTGTAAACTCATGTTTAAATACTACGTTTGCGATAAACAACGGGTACGGCATACATTGTGCTATAAATCCTAAGACATGGTTACACATACATATGTACCTACAGAAAAATAGATAAATACTTGCATATAAATAGGTAAACAGATAGATACTTATCACACACATACACATATACAGGATACAGACCCACATGTAACTAAACAGTGTCATGTACTCATAGATATATAGCTACTTGCACAATTAAGAGCCATATATGCGTAATACACAGTACGCAGTAACCTGTTCCCATATGAAGTTCGTAGTAAAACGGCATCTATCCACACACACGTCTACACACACGTCTTGCTTGGTAGCACGCTGACAGCGTGCGCTTCAGGTACACACACACATATATATATATATATATTCATACACACACACACACACACACACATATA